TAACGGTATGCTTTATGATTTGGTTGGTGAAGGAATTTCCAATCTTTCGCTGGTGTGTTTTTTCTATCGTGGTTCGGGGCTCACGAGCTGGGTGGAGGGAGCGTTCACAGCAGCTTTGTGGCCTTCGTGAGGCCGTTGGCCCATTGGAGCTGATCGTTTCCGCGGCAATGAACTGTTGAATGCTTTTTCAGGTCCACGTAGGTGCGCTTCTCAGTTGTGCGGGGGTGTTCTGCCGATATGGCGTCATGGAGGCGCTTGCAATCCGTGACCTGTAGTTGGTGAAGCTGCCATGATTTCAAGTCTTTCTTCAGCTGTTCACCGTGAGCACCAGGTTGGCGAAGTAGCTGCGACCAACGCAGTCATCGCAGGACATCGCCTCGCTGGTGAGTGTGGACCTGCAGACCCTTGCAGGCCTGTAGCTGCACCAACCGATGAGGTTGGTTTTTGTTTTCGCCTCAATGCTTTGAGGTGATGTGATCGAGACTAGTGCACGTTGTTGGCTAGCGCACTGTGCTGCGTTGGCTCATGAGGCTTCGGCGTAGCCGACGTCCAGGCAACCGCAAAGCTTTGCAAGCTCCGTTGGAGTCGTGCCCGGCCCCTTGTTTGAGAGGGAGGCACGCGATGTGATCTCTGACTTGGTCTGGCTGCCTCACTCAAGCTTGCCACTTGTGGAGTTATGGAGGCGGATGGCTTCTCCATGCTTCTTGAGCCAGGTCCTTGCCCTTGAGCTTGAGTGGCTGGTCCATGGGCAGCTGCTTCTGGCTGCCCCATGGGGCGAGGCTGAGGAGCCCTTCCTTGGCGGAATCCACCCCGGAGAGGCTGGTGAAGTACAAGTGTCGTTTGCCGCTGGCATCCCCCGAGGCTGAGTCCTATCTTCGGGCCGATGTTCTTGAGTTTGTTGGGCACAGGATGTTTTATTACCGCGGGGCAACCAAGGCAGTGTCACAGATTGATGGCGCTACAATAGATCAAGTCCAGGCGCATGTAAAGGCACAACCCGGCCCCCCAAAATAATTGAAAGGCTCTTCCATGGCAACATGGCAGTTTTGAAGGTGAGAGCTGGGCACGCGCGTGGGCGGTCAGGCAATTTCAAAGCAGGTGGCGACCCCACCAGTGCTGCAAAGCAGTGCGTGTGCTTCGCCATGCCCGGCCCTCTAGTGCGTAGACGGCGAGTCAAGCTGGGAGTCATGGGTCGTGTCGCGGTGCTTGTGCGTGGTGGCGTTGGCGTTGACTGGCCCATGCTGCCCCAAGTTTTCCAAGCCATGGTTGGCGACAAAATATGACAAAATTGAATCGGGGAGGGGACATGGACAAATTACACATTGCAGCTCAGCTCGTGGACAGTTGGACGCGCAGTGTCGCCGCTTCCCCCATGTCAGTGCAAGTGCCAATTATGGGGCTGTTCGAATGTTTTGTCCGATGGGGTTTGGCCGAAAAGCCCGCGGCCACAGCACGCTCTGCCTTACACTGCAATACCATCCGGTTATGTTTCACCAATCCCGACGCTACACTGTTTGCGTCCATCTTGGGCCTATGCGTCATTCACTCGCGCACGTACACATATGTGTTATCATCCGTTCTGTACATGCCCCGACTCAATGCCTGTTTTGAATTCAAAAGTATTTGTGCAAGTCACTGGCTGGCATATCTCAATTGTACTGCGCAATGCACACCTTGGAACATCTTTGGCTTTTCGAGGAACTCGCGGTGATACCATTTCACATGCTGCTCGCAGCGGTTGAACATGCGTGCCTTTTCACATGTGCGCTGGTGGTGAAGTTTCGATTTTCTTTTTGCCTTGGGCGTCGTTGCCTCTCATTGTGCGGTCCATTGTTCGTGCTGGGCCAGCCAGTGTCCAATTGCGGGACTACCCTCTGCAAAGGTGTTTCAATTTCAATGTCGTCGAGAGCATCGGCAACTGCGAGCTGATCGCAGGCACCATGGCGAAACAGGAATGGACATAGCAAGGTGGCCGTTTCACTGTGGATTGGATGGCTTTCGTGACGCTGAGAGAGGCACAAGGGAACCACAACATGCAAATGCAAGAATATGCAAGAATGCAGCAGGATGGCGCCACGCCAGCGCCAAGTTGCAAGTGTAGCGCAGGTTTGGAAACTCGACACACCCGATCTTCTTGAAAGGCTGCGCGGACGATCCCCGTGCAACATGCCATTCGACCGCAGTTTCTCACGCTCAACACGCAGGATCCGGCAAACGCCTGCGCAAACAAGTGGTTGTCCTCTCGATTTGCGGCGCCAACATTAGAAGAGAATGTAACTCAAAGGAAAAGCAAAGCAAAGCGATGCAAAAGCATACGCCATACGCAAGAATGTGCAAGACGTGCAAATGCAAGGCATCAACAGTTCAAGACATGAAAGTGCAAACAACATAGGTAAGTAGCCAGGCCCTTCGGAAAAGCCCTTCGCCAGGTCTTCTGGAAAAGAAACAAAGCAAAGATTCGGGTTCCTTGACGCTCTGTCGGCAGCCAGGGAAACGTGCAACTCAGATGGTAGAAGGCTGACTCAGGCGGTTTTCGGTGGCGCCGCACCGAGTACACTGCTGGAATTCTCAGTACGCTTCAGTATATAATTAGTAATTATAGTCTTAAAGCGTACACACTCCAGTTCGCAGGAATTGCTTTTCGCGGGAAAAGTCAAAGGCAGGCGGTCCAGCCCAGATTGTTTTATCGAGGGTGGGCGGGAATATCATATGATAACACAAGCAATCCAGCTGCAGTAGTGCAACAACAAGCCACAGGCACAAAACAACTCAATGAGCTGGATTGCAAGGATTGTGTACCAAAGTAGTCACAAAAGGATACAAAAGGGAATGTATAGACTGCATTCTTCCAAAACAACACTCCTCGAATGAGGATGCTCTGGCTCTGTCCATCCTCATGCACCACTGCATCGGCATGCATCGGCTATGAACTGCTCAAGGCGATGTTGTTTGTATGCCTTCAGCATCGCCTTGGATTTGGTGCAGAATTGATGACTTGCGCGTCAGAAGGGTTTCTCTGGACCACGATGCCACGGAAAGCTGTGGAGGGTGCGGCACCCTCTTGAGGCACAGGGGGCCTTCCACCTTTGGAGGACAAGGTGGTTGCACGGCGCTTGAGGAAGTTGGAGGAACGATGGGAGGACGGGCTTTTGGGACAAAAGCCGAGGAGAAGACTCAAGGCTGCAAAGGCATCACTACTAACGTTATTAGGTCGGAGGCCCTCGCTACTAGGGTGGAGGCCATTGCTATTAGGAGCAAGGACGCTACTGGGGGCTACTGGCCTTACTACTAGGAACAAGAAGCTACTAGGGGCTCCAGGAATCGGTACTAGGAGCAATCACGTTACTAGGGTGGAGGCGGCGGGACTCAGTCGACTCAGTTGAGCATGGTGGGCTCGCGTGCCTGGGGGGGCACAAAGGTGCGCATTGCACAGCGCAGCCTATGTCCAACTGCTAGTAGGTTGGAGGCCATCGCTATTAGTTAAAGTTTCTTCATTTAATTATGATTAATTAGAAGCGATGCACTTGTTCCTAGTAGCTTCTTGTTACTACTAGTAAGGCACTTGTTACTAGGAGGCGTGACAGCAGATTGTTGCTTGGGCAGGTTGGGGTCGATGGTCTGGTGAGGCAATGATGCCCAGGGACGAGGAGGAAGGACTGCAAAAAGATAGGCAAACGACATGAATCCGCAAAAGCTTGAAACCCTACTATACCAGAACTCCAATCAAAAGGTCACATGAAAGGCAAGGCCACTGTCCTTTTTACGAGTGTTCTTCTTTTCACATTTATTTTTTGGGGAAACAACTTGCAACCTGACTTGCTGTATCTATGCTTCTGCCTGGAAAGGCGCAGCTCAAGCGAGCTTGGGTTGACCCAAGGTCAACAGTCCTTTCCTTGGTGAAAGAGCAGTCCTTGGCAGTGCGAAGGAAGCAAACGTCGTAGGATGACAGGCCGCGTCGCAGTGCAGCGACGAAAGGACCAACTATATCCGCGGCAACAACGGTCTGAAGCACCTAGTGCCGAAGCAGTTTGTGGTACGCGGCGGCCTGTGGGTACACATGATGGAGCAGTGCGAGGCGAGCTGGCGACTGCAGCAATGCTTGGCGGTTGCGTATTGATAGGTCTACGTATTGTTTAAGAATTGGGGAAGCATAAGTCGCGTCAGGGGTTGATGCTAGGGAGGAGTCATCAGTGTCAGGATATATGACCAATGACCAATATCATACATTTCCATTGACGTCCTGTATCATCCACACAAAAGACCTTAAACAAACACGTCAATCAGTGCTTGCACAGCCATGCAGCAGCTACAGTGGGCGAATGTTCATGATTCACGGCTTTCACGTTCTGTTTCACTTTATTCCGTGCTGCTCTGTGCTCAATGCTCAAAACTTTTCGAGAATGTTTATGGTGATTTCTTCTGCTTCATGCAGTGCAAAATTGTGGGCGATTGTGGGTCACCGGCCCTTCCGCTCTTCCTGGAAGTGTCCATGCCGTTCACAAACAGTTGGGAACAGGCACCACCGGTCCACAAATCGAATGCTCGCAAAATGGGTGCAGCAGTTGCGGCACGTTCTGGTGGAAGGTTGGACGAACGGATTGGGAGACCAAGGCGTCCGGATGCCTGGCCTTGCCACTCACAGGAACGCAGGTTGTTGCAGGAACTGGGGCAGGATTGGATGCGCATGCATGTGTTGCGATGTCTTGCGTTGATGTAAAAACGTGAGCTACTGGCAGCTAGCAATGGCACCACAAAAGACTCTTTTCAACTCGCTCGACTCTCTTCGGTGGGTGACCAATGCCTCGCGAGATTGGACACATCAAGCATGGATCGCGGATTGTCACATACAAGGTAGGAGCAAGGACGCTACTAGGGGCTCCTGGCCTTACTACTAGGAGCAAGGATGCTACTAGGGGCTCCTGGCCGTACGACTAGTAACAAGAAGCTATTAGAAACAATAAATAAATAGAATTAACACTAGAATATAAATAATTGGAATTGAAACAAGAAGCTACTAGGACCTTAAAATGTCTGAAGCAACACTTTATCACTACTAAATGAGACTGCTTTGCCAGTAGACAGCACTCCCATCAAAGCCACTATGGTCAGAAAGAATAGAAGACCCATGCATTTCACAAGACCGGCTGAGTCATAGTCCTCTGCGCATCTAATGCAAAGGTCCTGATGCGCAAACGCTACAGGGTGCTTTGCTGCATTATCAAATCTGAAGTACCATTGGTGTTGTCGGCTTTTGACCTGGCAAAAGCTGAGGAACTAACGTAGCAGCACCCGAATCTTGGGCAATGCAACATCATCTGATCCTCAGTTGTTCTGCTGCCAATTCTCGTCTTTTGACCATGAGCAACTCCTCTCATCACTCTTCTCTCAAGGCAAAGTCCTCCTCAATCTGGTCGCGCGCACAATGGCTGCATGACAACCTGAGCCAGCAGGTGTTCTTGATATCTTAGGCAATGATGACTTTTTGAAGTTTCAAGATGCTCAAATTACAAGCAGGAATGCCCACGCTTGCATGTCAGCCAAATCCTCCAGTTGTTTTTCTCTGCTTGCTCTAGTGTTCTCAATAGTTCTACTTGATGATTTTTCCTACGCAAGAGGATTTTGATACACTGTACTAGACATCCATTCCGAAACACAACGCTTCCTGTTATCTATATATATATAATATATATAACTTAACATAACTTTCATGCAAACAACATTTTAGTTTGATAATCCTGATTGTTTATGCAAATCATTGCAAATCTGCTATTGGGCCGAGCCCTCTCGGCTGCACACATCAAATCGTCTGTGCTGCTTCGAATGCGATATGCGGCTGGCACACCACACATGGGCTGCAGGACCCCGTGCCTATGCCAATATAGATGGAAGCTGGGAGTAGCTTTTTGCTTGCAACCCAACATTACGTATTTAGATGACATCCAAAGTAACACATGGATAAATGGCAACAAAGTATTACAAAAACAAGTTTCTCTCTCTCACACAAACATTTCTGCTGACTGCAGAAAACGGAGAGTCCACAAAGTGATTTCAAGAAACGTCTCCAAACCCAGTCCTGCGAGGGCAGCCAAAGTCAAAGCGAACTACTACACGTCGCTCAACCTTGTCAGGCGAAACAAGCAACATGGAAACGATGCGACTGCAACTAGCAGCTTAGCTGCCTCTGTCGAACCAGAATCACATTGAGTGCATTTCCTCTGCTACTGATTTGCAATCTGGGCAATAGAACTTTGGTGGTAGCTGGACGCGTGAAGCATAGGGCACCTGAGCCGAGCTATCCCAACGAACTCAAATTCAAACCCTGACACTGACACAAAGATGGGCACGGACACGTACACGGCAAAGGTTCTGCTTGTGTGCAACCTCTCCAGCTCCAACTCAAGGGCATCGGGATCTTCCGTGTGCTTTGGCTCTTATGCTTTGCTGAAGCAGTGCTTTTGTCAGCTGAGACAGCTTGCAAGCCCTTCGCTTAAACTGCTGATCTATTCGTACTTGGAATAGAGTGGCTGCACTCCGTCCTCTACAAGCACATCTAGCAGCGCTCGCCGCGCCGCTGCAGCAAGTGGCGGAGCCACGAGTGCCTCCGTTGGGCTGCACATCTCCAACATTCGTCTGACAGCATGGCCAAAGCAGCTGAACGATCAGAAATGGTGCAAACAAATTTTTGAAAGGTGCTTTTGCGCTCCCAACCTAGTATCCACTTGTCAAATCAAGTCAAATCCTTGCGGGCAGCCTCCGCCAAGCGCTCCAAGACTGGCAATGGAGCCACCTCAGCTTGATTTAGAACGTAAACTTTGCCGATGGTCCTATGTTCTCATCACATGTAGCTCAGACTCTGGAGAAAAGAGCAAAAAGGTGAGGAATCTTGGTGAAAACACATAATTTAGTGTGAATATGAGGAGTGAAAAATACTCGCGTTCAATCATACTATCAATCATGCCCAAATGCAAACAACGTGCTCTTGGCCCTTTTCCGCAGCTGCTTGAGGCATGGGCCCAAATAGCTCTTTTGAAGGACTGGATGGTGGCAACTCGAATTGGGCTTAGGAGACATTGCACCTGTTCAGTTGGTTGCCACATCGCATGTAATGGACATAACGAGATATTCGGCGATTCTCGAGTATTCTGTTCCCAACGAATGCCAAAAGCAGTCCTATCTTGGGCTGTGACTGCTTCCTTTCCCGCTCTCCCTTGGTGTAGCGGCACACTCCGCGTCTTCAGTGCAGTGCTTCAAGGCGCAGGCCAGTGGCACAAAGCTTGGTCACTGCATGGATCTTGGCAAACTCCATGATGGCTGTGATCACCTTCGCAAAAGACACATTTGGTTGCTTGGATTCGAATATTAACAACCCTTTAAGATCCGAGATCTATTGCATTATAGCCATTGCTAGAGGACACATCCGCAAGAAGCATTCACATTGATTACCGCCTCAGAATTCAAAGCATGGGCCGAGGCTGACCATCGATCAGTCATGCTTGAGAGAGCTTTGTCCCTCTAGGTCTCTAGGTGTCAAGTTTAGGGGTTGTTGACTGGCAATATAATTGACAGCTGGAAGATTCAACCACACATGAGCAAAGACTCCTATGATGTAGCATGAGAGGATAAACTATCTTGCAAATTTGTACTTTTCTTTTTTGCAGCTCTACTGTTTTTGGAGATTACTTCAGAAACATAACACCTCGCTTCGTCTTGCAAATATAGCAGAATATGTCCAATCGCACGTGCAGTGTTGACTTCGATCCAACTTTGATCTTGAGAAAACCTTTGAATAGCTTTAGTCTGCTCTTAAGCTATTTATAAACTTTGAGTTGGATTTGCTGTAAGTCTTTTCGGCGCGGAGATGGACGTCAGCTTCCACTCAGTGGGATGGATGCCATACACCTGTAGTAGCCTCAGTCGTCCCAAAGTGATATCAAGAGTCAAGAGACCGGCTTCTTGTTCCTCCTAGTAGTAAGGCCAGGAGCCCCTAGTCGCGTCCTTGCTCCTAGCAGCGATACCAGGAGCCCCTAGTAGCTTCTTGTTACTAGTAAAGAGTCAAGGGTGATATCAACAGGTATCTGCAGGTTGGGCCAAGTGCTGCTCATGTCCCCTCAAAAACTGGGCAACATCTTGCGGGCCGTGCTTTATGAAGCAATTCAAAGTGCCGATGAGCCCCTGCATGATAATAATTAGATATACTGTAATAGCAAACAGTGCCTCGGTCATTCTGACTATTCTTGAATTTCTCCATCCTTGGCCGCAAGCCATCGTCACCCATCTCGTCCAACGCGGAGAGATGAATCTCCTTGAGCTGCACAGTGCCGAAATCAACCTGATCGTTGTGCATAAGAGTCTTCTCAGTCGTCTTGCATCAGTCAGAACCATTGTGTTGAACACAACATCGAACCCTCTTGAATCAAGTGTAGATCATGCATGGTTGTGAATGAACAGCAGTTTTTTTCCACTGCAGAACATCGTGCACTTTGCCGATTCACTACTGGTCCGGTTCTGTAGCAGTTTTCTGCTCTGCGTAGTGCCACTTCACAACCTGCCGACCAGGTCTGCGACAACATTTATGTAAAGCAATATCCGGCTTCTGGAATAGACTCTCAATTACCATGCAATAGGCTAATAACATATATAACTATCTAAAAACACCAGCATTTAAAGCCTCCTGGTAAGGCAGCTTGCCACCAAAAATGTCGAGGGCACTTCCTGAGCCGTATTGAGATGTTTCTTTGTCGTTTCAACGGAAGAGTGCGAAGCGATTGAGGCTCTGGCCGATGGTGGCGTCCACACGGCCGGCACCTGAAACTTTCTTGGCTTCAAACCCATGCATGAGTTGTGCCACAGGCTATAAATAAACCATCCTATGCTTTTTGCGGTGGTTCTTCCAGCACCACCCTGCACTAATGACTGTTTGAAGCCCGCCTAAAGTACGTATCCTCTCCATATCCTGGCTCTGAAGAACTCATGTTGTGATCTAAACGTGACTCTGCTGACTCTGCTGTCTATTGCTTCATCGATTCTGCAATCATCCCTTCTGTTGTGGCAGGACCAAAGGCGAACATCATCCAAAGTATATTCAACACTATTCAACACTGAGTTTAATCGTGAAAGTATGTGAAAGTTATATATGCCAAAGCATCTTGACTCAATGACAATGAATCAAGTTTTATGTTGTCCCGCACAGAAAAAGTGACAAACCAATACAGGCCTCCAGCGATCGAACGCCACCAGCATACGTCACTGGGATGGGAGACATGGCCAGGATTTGCACCAAAGGCTCCTCCCAGGCGTTTTGCGCATGTTGGCAGTTGGCAGTGAAGAACATACGCATACCGTGTCAACCTCAACGGCAAAGGGTAGGTAGATGCTGTTACGTAGTAACATTAAATTCTTATCACTGTCAGTCGCAACACTGGAATGAGCCTGCACGACTCCCACCCGCAAAACACACACACGTACATGAACTGGGATACTGAAATCTGTTGTACAATCTAGCCTTATCCTACTTATCTGCCATGTTTCATCAACCAGTGAGACTGCAGGATGGCTAAAGCATCTTGGTGTCAACATGCACTCTTCATCGAGCTTCTCCTCGATGCCACTCTGAAGGCCCTCCACATCCACTCCATGTACCAGGAACTCATCGCAATGTTTGGAGAGTTCCATCAACGTGTCCTGACGAAGACAGCACAATTACCAATCATCTGAAGAGGATCAAAGCATTCAATCATTTTGCATTGAAGCATCTTCTTAGCAAACTGCCTGCTTGGCATATTCTCTTGCAATTGAGGCCAACTGAAGCATTTGACACTGTTCTATCTATCTCAGCTGATATTCGGTCCTCCGTAACCTCTAAGTCTGTCCACTTCTGCCACCGGTCAGTGACCACCTGAGCCGCAACCCGTCACTACTGCGCTTGGAGTATCATCAGTCCCACACAAATCATGCACACTACAGCCACTTACAGCAAGCCAGTGACAAGGCTTCATAAGTCGTACTGGGCCAGTGCACTTCGCCTCTTGGTCTTTTTCTGCCGCTTCACAGGCCGCCAGCCAAACGCTAGGGATGCTCATGTGGCATATGCTCATCGTCTTCGAAATGCACAAAACTATCTTGAGCTCAATCGATAGTGAGTTCACGTTCGGGGTATCCAAACTGATGCCTCTCCTCATCGTACAAATTCTTCCTTCGACGATCTCTTGGGAAACCCAACAAGGTATGTTTTCTGGCTCTTGCCCACTACCAAACAAAACAAACAGTTTAAATTTAAACAAGCCAAGGCATGACTGTAAAAGCAATGCATTGGTTGTCGAGCTTCAACGCATCCATGTATGTGCAATGAGCACTTTGAACTTCCTCATCGGTTGGCTTCCCCGGAACCTTGCAGCTGAGTTCCAGGGGTGCACCGCACACCAAATGCACAGGTTTTCGCAAAGGCAGGAAGCCAAGTGCACCCAGGTACACTGGGATGCAAACACCCAGGGTCCTCACCCAAGGATTCTCAAACAGTTGAAGGAATAAGCGGAAATACCGACCAACACATGTGTGGATATTGAACTGATATGAATTGGTTATTTTACTGAACCTTCTGTACTAGCATTGCAACAAACAATACAATATCCAATAACATCTATGGGTAAACGATGGTCAACGTGCAGGCAAGGCACTTTCGCAAATACTCACGAGGTGAGAAAAGAAAGTTTGTGTAGGTGGCGTAGAGGTCTACGCATCCGAAAGCATAGCAAGGCACCACTGCAGCCTGCTGTTCCAAGGCAAGCTTGATAAAGCCAAAGCGCTTTCTCAAGAAGACTTCCTCCCTTCCCTGCACAGTGCGGATCTGCTCTTGTTCACCTTGCACTCATTGGTACCCAATGAATGACACCAATATCAGCAGTGGACAAACACAAACCGTTGCCACAAACAAGTAGGCTATATATTGGCACAGCACAACAGAACATTGTTGCTTGTGGACGCAGCTAACGCAGTTCATGCTCGCACTAGAAAAATAAGCCTAGCACTAGCAAAGCAAGAAAACAAATTTGCCAGGCATAGCACCCAGAATGTGGTTGAGATCACCTAGAAATACAACAAACAAAGAGTGCACTATACACCTCACTACACAACCCTTTGCCTCACTCCAGTACGTTCCAATGTGCCTTGACACACCTCTTGGAAAAAAAGGCATTCTGCAGCCACACCAAGCAACACCACAACAAAACACGACACCACAAATCACAAGACATCACCCCACCAGCACATGATCCCTCACAAGTAACACACTGGAAAAAGCAAGAGATGAAAACATCGAAACACACTGTACTGTATGCACGATCTATTTAGCACATGAGCGCTCACATGTCGCCCCAAGACAAAATAATGCGCAAAGGCCTCCAGGGATCACCATGAGGCTATGCTTCTTCTTCAGTGCTCGTGCAGCCACCGACTTTCTTGCATCAATGCAACGGGTCCAGAGTGCCAATTCCCGGACCATTGGGATGCAGAAAAGAACCGATGCCGAGAGCGTCAACACCTGGATGCAAATGTTCAAACGTCACTCAATAATACTGAATTTGGCCTGACAACATTTGAGAACATGCAGTTAACATTTGATAAAGAGCATCTTGGACTCCTGGACCATCTTGGACGGATTTGAGACCGGTGTGTTAGCTATTAACATCCAAAGCATTGGCTTCTTGCACTGCTTGGAGGCTTAGTTTTGTTTTTGCATCATTTTGCATTAACATTCTCGACCTCCCGCTTTGGCAGTGCATTGTAGAACATTCCGTCCAGCAGGATACGATAGTCGCTCGCCACACCGTGAGGATGCACAGCTATGACAACAGGCTTCCTTGGAAACAAGTTCCGTGGCCCTTCTACATTGGTTCTGAATGATTTCAAACAGTTGTACAGTTTACTGTACAACATTGACCGCTTTGAACACCCAACCAGGAAGAATGACCAACAAACACTTCGTGGCAGGTTTTTGTGGAGAAGGAGCATTGGGCTTCGAAACATCCACGATTCAAGAGCTCAGCCAATGAAGTTTGCAAACAATGCACAGCTGTACAGTGGCTGTTCAAATAGAACTAAGGCGGCGAGGTTCTCTGGAGGGTATTCCTGCAGCAACGGGTGCACGTGGATCCGCAGCCGAAGGTACCGCCGGAAGGCCTTCACTTTGGTCTCACGTGTTTTTTGGTGCTACAAAAGGTCTTATACAAGTCTTGTGAATGTTTTAGTCTTGATTGAATGCTATTGCCCTCAAAACCACTTCTTTGATATTCACGAAACCTTGAGCCAAGATGCATGATAACCCCATTCTTGCTGTGAGAACCATGGCCATGCTGCTCCATCTTTCAGCTCAGCTCTTGCGATCACGCGACCCCAAAGAATGTAAAGCAAGGTTGGGAAAATGAGAATGGGTTGATTCCAGCAACAACATAGGATCAAAAGCGGAGATGCGAAGCAAATGGCCATCACCATATTCCAGTAGAGTCCAAGAGCGTAGACATATCTAGCCCCTTCAGCTGGGTGCCCACTTCCAGGTTGCCACAGCAAGCGCGGTGATGACAGTGCAACGCTAAAGACTACCAGCCATTTCCAGGATGCACAACAAACGCAAAAGAGTCCTCACCGTGCAGCTTCAATAGCCAGCAGTGACTACATCTTATTACAGCACAACAAACCTTCAACATAATGTAGACCTGGAGCTGACAACAATCACTCAATGAACCTTCCACTCAACGTAGCCCGGGTGTGCCAGAGTCTTTCTGATTCTGTGCTTCGGCCCCTCTTTCACTTTTCGCAAACTAGTTAACTCGTTGTGAACAAGTTCCTCTGTGTGAAAACACTCTGTGTGAAGAGCCTCTATGTGACCAAGCCCCTCGCTTCTTTTTCACTCTGTGAACAAGGTAGCACAAATCACTCTCTGATTTGTGCTTTTGATTGATGACTCTTCTACAGCAGTTCTTTGACGTTATGTAAGTTATAAGTGGTATATGTCTCTTTATCAGCTTATCTAGTTTACAGTCCTGCCTTTTTCACACCTTCAATTCAACAGGGTGGGCCAACGGCCACTGGTCAAAGGTGGCTTTGGCAAAAATAGCAAGCCAACACCAACACGAAGACTGTCAGAACCAACTTAAGAAAACGTCTTGCTTTGAGCCCCATCCTGGCAGAAAGCCGATGAACAACAAAGCTGTAACATGAAGGCTTGGAGTACACTGCGGACAACAATCGGAGTCGAAGGTCACGTATTTCACCATTGCTCAAAGGCACACAAATGGTATCGATGATGACTGAAAATTGTTTGGCTGCTGATGCGTGTCAAGCAAAGCTACTCCGAGAGTCTTGTACATGTTGAAACCCATCTGTGGTCTGAGCGAGTTGAGCAACTCTTGTGAAGGTATCCAATTTCTTGTGCCGCTCTGCGAGGTTATGCGAGGTTGATAGTTGTTGCCAACATGTGCTCAATGCGCACAGCTTGAGTGATGAGAGGCAATGAGGGAACGTCCACCCCAGCCAAGACAAATCAGACTCTCCCCAATGCCCCATCCCAACTTAGGCTTGAGCTTTGTAGACTGGACGGCCCTGGCTCTGCGTGTGTGTGTGTGT